ATATTTCACTCAGCATAATGTCCTCCAGGATCACACATTTTGAATAATATTTCATTTGTTCCTTGTTTCTCTATGCTGCGTAGTATTCCATTGTGTGGATATACCACAGCTTCTCTAGCCATTCATTTGCTGATAGGCCCTTGGGTTGTTTCCAACTCTTGACTCTTGTGAACAGAGCCGCGATAAATAGAAATACCATTTGACCCAGCAATTCCACTACTGGGAATATACCCCAAGGAAACCATAACCACCACCGAAGCAGATATGTGCACACCCATGTTTATTGCGGCTTTTTTCTTTTGATTTCTTTATTGCTGCTACCATAGAAGTTTATTGTACATTGAATCCTAAATAATGTCACTTTTTCCTGCAGTTTTCATGATGCTGCCAATTGGTCCAATGTTGAGAATTTTTGTTTTCTTGATGTTGAGATATAATCCTTATTGAAGGCTGTAGTCTTTGATCTCCTAAAGTAGGGCTCCAAGTTTTTACTTTACGTGAACAAAATTGTGTGATCTGCATAACACAGGTTGTTGATGAATCTTCTTCTGATCCTGATGCCACATTCTTCTTCAAATTATTTGTTCAGCTTAAATATTGAAAACGTCTGGAAAAATGATAAAACCGTGAGGCCTACTTTTTCTGAGTTTAAACCATGCCGTATTCAGAGTTGCTTTCTTGGAGATATCATTGCATGAATTCAACTCACAGTTGACCCCATTTGACAGAGTAGATTTTCCTATAGGTTTATTTTTTTTAATTTTGGTAGGGTTGTTTTGGTCACTGTTGTTTTGGGGTTCTTATGGAAGCACATGGTCAGATTTTTGCCTATAGAATAGTGAGTAGGTTTAAACCACCAAGGTTTTGGTTAGCATCTGAGCCCTGAACAGGGTTTTGCTGTTAGTTAAATCACAGCAAAACCAGCTCTCTATTTCCACACCTCCATATCTGTTCCCTTTTATCCCTGTGTGCTTGCGTGTCCATCCTTTCTGCATGTTGTTTTTGTTATTGTTAGGTGCCATTGTGTTGCATACAACTCCTAATGACCCTACAAACAACAGATCTGAATTCTGGCCTATCCTGTGTCATCCCTCACAATCTCTGACACAAACAGAACCATTGCTGCAGTAAGTGTGTCAGTCCATTTTGTTGAGGGTTTTCCTCTCACTGACCCTCCACCTTTCCAAGCATGATGTCCCTCTTCAAGGAATAAGCTCTCCTAGCAACATGTCCATACTGTGTGTCATGAAGCTTCGACATCCTTGCCTCTAAGGAGCACTCTGACTACACTTTTTCTAGGACATGTCTGTGGTTTTTGGCAATTGTGATTTTCAGTACTCTACCACCACAACTCAAAGGCTTCAATTTTTCTGTCATTTCTGTGTGATAGCTGTGTCACTTACTTTTCCTGCTCAGAAAACAGCAAAATTGGCTACTCTGGTCACCAAAAAGAAAATTCTTTTTTGCTTGCAAGTTATTTTCTGTCAAGCCTTATTGGATATTTTGTTGTTGTTGTTGTTTCTGTTGTCATAACGTTGAGTAGGAATTAACCACTAGTTGACCCTCCCATGAGTTTTCAGAGATAGTAAATTACATCAGATGAGATTGCCCATTGTTCTCCCATGGAGCAGCTGGTGGATTCAAACCATGAACCATTAGGTTGACAGTACCGTTCCTTAGATCTAGGCCACCAGAGCTCTGTTGGACATTAGTAGTTTGTAAAAAGAGCTCTGATGCACAGTCTGTGGAGAGTTGCCCTACTAATGCAAAGAATACGTCTCTCTGGTGATTCAAAGCCACCAGCAGCTCTTTAGAAGAAAGGTGGACAGTCTCTTGTAAGAGTTGAGTTTTGTAGGAGCGTAATTGAACGTCTCAGTTTGGACCAAAGTGAATGCAGCCTGGAAAGCAGGAGGATGGTGTATATTCCATCTGTTCCTCATTGGACAGATAACTGGCTGTAAAGTGGAATGAAGAAAGAAAAGAATTGAAATCTGTGAACAAGAAAAACCACGGAGCTCTTACTGTCTTCATGTTGTGAACTTGTAGGCCTGAGACCCAACATACTTATTTTCTACTCCCTAGGCCCTTTGCCCTTTCTTTTTCTACCTCCACCTAAATATTCATATCTAGCATTTATATAAAGAAGCATTTAATGTTTTGCAAATTATCTTAAATCCAAATACAGATACATTCTTTTCAATACAAAACCCATTCATAGGGTCATCTTGCATATATTTTTATGTACAGTTTAGACACACATTTGTACATCCATAGATAATGGTAAAACATTTAATGCCAGAACTTAATGATGATGTGTGAATATCAATACAAACAGCTCTAAGAACCTGATGTCTACCGCTCTGTGACACTGCCTGCCTCCCACGCCTTCCATGTAAAGGAATCTCAGTAAATTCATGTTACACAAAGAAATGGGAGATTCAAGTCCTTTCTTTGGGTCTAGGAACCATTTCAGCCCAGTTGACAATAACAAGTAGTGAACTTAATTCACTCTAAGATAATGGTATCCTTCTGGAGAGAAGTGATCTGTAGCATTATTAACTTTCAAAATGTTTCCAGATGTAGTTGTAAGGCCAGCATACACACTCTTGTGGAATCTGTGACCACTCACAGGGTCCAGCCCAGAGCAAGGCAGCCATGTTAGATCTGATACTCTTTGACCTTCACTGACCTGGCATGTGGTCAGACGAAGACTTCTATTTCTGTTCACCTCTAAGACCACAGATTTTTCCTTTTCTTTTTCCAACATTTCCACTTAACTTCTTGAAGCTGTTATTTCTTGTTTTGTGAAAGAGAGAAAAAAACTCCATTATTATTCCATTGTAATAAAATGGAATTATTTTAAAATTATTTCCATTTTCTTCTCCACTAAGAAAAGATCCAAGAAGCAAAATTCCTTTACGGATTCAAGGTTGAGGCTGTTTACTCTTACCAGTAAACTATTCATCTGAAACCCGTAGGCAGCTTGAAGTGGAGCCCATCCTGTCCCCCAGCCCACCTTGGGCCCCATCTAACAGCACATGGTCCTTTTGCTTGAAGTACCCTGTGCTTCTCAAGCTTTGTCTTCAGAATTTTATTGAGTAATTTAGGTCTATCTGTTTTACAAGGTGTTTTATTAGTAATGCTTTGTCTGGTGGGTCCTTGCCAGGAAGTGTTTTTCCTGTCAGGGTCAGAGTGGGAGTAGTTTACAGCCGACTGTCACTGAGCCCATAACTTGGGCTTGCTTCACTCTAAGTTTAATTTTCTGTTTCTTAGTCAGTACTCTGGCCTCATTCTTGCCTTTTGCATTGGAGAAGTTTTAAAGTTAAAAACTGACCCATTTCCAGGCATCTCTGGTAGAAGTGTCAGCACGCAGACTCCTGGTGACCTTTGCACACAGCAACAGGGGTGGTGGCCTGCTTTGCAGTGAGGGCAGGGCCCTGACTTTCTGCCTTTTATTCCTCAGGCATCACGGCCCTCAGAAGTGCTTGTGTTTTCAGTGTCTGCATATTTTAAGATAAATAGCTGAGCTAATTTTCTACACAGTTCCAATTTAAAGGTTCTAGACTCAAGCTTGCAAAGTCAGTGCGCTGCCCTGCGCACATCTGGGGGAGAGGCAGAGAGTGCAGTAGTGGAGAAGTGACTGTGGGGTGGCCTCTCCCTTGGACTTGTGGCTGCTCTCGGAGGTTAGGAACAACTCAGAAAGTGATGCTCCTGTCATGAGAGGAACGCATTTTCAGACTCAAGCAGAAGTCTGTTTGTTTCCCCTTCACATGTAATGGGCTACTCCTATGTTGCTCTTTCTCTCTCTCTCAGATGAAAATTTACCCTGCAATGGTCCTTTTTCTTAGAATCAATAAATGTGTCTGGGTTTTTGTTTTGTTTTGTTTTGTTTTTTCATTATTCTTTACTCAGCTTTGTTAGTCCATCAGCAAGATAGAATAACACTTTAACCTCTTATCACAAATATATGTGAATAGTTTACTGCCGTAGAATGTGATAGGTTCAAAAGCTAATTGTGTGTTTAGGATTAACTAATATAAATTTAAAAAAATCTGTTACAGGTATTGGTCTCTATCTCAATTTTTCTAAACACTCAGTAGTTTGTAACATTAATACCAATAGTATATATCATATAATACATACCAATAATATCCATAATTTTTAAATACAACAGAATTTTCCTATTGTTCCAGAGAAGGAGTTATCAGTGTGTACAGTTAATTCTACAAAGCAATCTGAAATATTATTCCACTCTAAAAGCAAGTCATTGAATCCTCACTGCCTCTCTACAAGCCAAATGCTGTTACTATTAGACATTTTGTAGACCTTGACAGTGTTCTCACCAAGTCAGGGCAGGTAGGTGATGAAACTGGGGTTTGCTCCAGGATAGTCTGCAGACCACATACTCTTCACTCTTCAGTCTCTCTTCTGTATAAATTAATTAGCATCATACTACTGTATTATATCTTGTCCAGACTTTAACTTGCTGATCAGAATTAGATTGAGTATGACTTCGTCAGAAGTTTCTTCTAAAAATGAGCCCTTTACATTAGAATAGTCATTCTGGATAATGAATGATTTCACGTCCACCAGTGGAAGAAGGATAGACCTACTGCATTTAACAGATAGCATGTAAGCTTTGTTAACCATTTGTATTCTGTCTCCTGTTTACTGATTTATATGACAATCACTTTATACCTGCATATGAAGGAAGAAATGGAAGGGTGTTTTTTTAATTTCCATATACTGTCAAGACTGACCAGCAATTAGAGAAAATATCAAGAGTGGCAGAAATTAAAAACAATGGGGGGAAATTATCTTTTTCCCCCCCTTGACCCGTAAGAAAAAAATAATTTCACCATTTAGTTGTAAGAGGAAATAGATAGTGGCAGTGTTTTCTCCCAACAACTCCATGGGGGCCGATAGAATAAGGAAATATGAGCAGACTATTTATTTGCCTTTCCACTAACTGTCTTTTCCCTCCCCCAACTTGATTTCAGGTGTCAGAAACTATTTGAAAGAAGCATTGGTGAATATAATTGCTGTGCATGCAGAGGTAAGCTGTCATTAGGTGTTCCTAAGATATACTAGTAACTGAAAAGAAAACTAAAAAAAACAAAACAAAACAGCCAGCCACCCCAAAAGGGAGCTCTGGGGGGGGGGGCGCGAGGGGGAATTGCTATTAACCTAAGGGCGCCTGGTTTGAATCCACCAGCAGTTCCTTGAGAGAAAAGGCAGTGTACTTTCATGCCTATTTGATGATTTTTATGGTGAGTGGCCTTTTTCACTTCACACAACATCTTGGGTGTAAGTGAAACACAATTATTGTATCCTGTATAGGTGGATTTTTCTTGTTTTATTTTTGTAACTATGGCAATCTTTTTCTGGAATTGTATGTGCTTCTTTATAATTAAAGCAAAATTTGTTGATACTTGAAAGTCTAAGAGAAGGTAGATTGAGGGAATGTTTTTTTTTTCCTTTCAAGAATGCTAGCTCCCTTTTCTGGAGAATCTATGAGCCTCTTTTTAGCTAGCATGCAGATCAGTACCATAATGATGTAGTCTCTAGCAGAACCATGTGAGGAAGGTAGAGTTAGGAGAAGGGGCTGCACTTAAGGAAGCAGTGCATGGTTTCCTGTCAGTGCTGACTCAGGTCCACAACAGTGTGGATGTCCCTAGTTCACAGTAAAACATGCCCACTTGAGGAATTGTCACCAGTCTCATACTAGCATCACTGTTTGCATCCTTGCTAAGAGGACTTTTCTGTGGAACATCAGAAGAGGCGACCACAACTACCATTATTACCCCTCTTGTGACTGTCTGATTTCTTTGGGTGATTTTACAGTCATTGCTCACTACTTTGCTAAACTTTAGTGATAGTTCTTGCTCAAAGGCTGAAAGGTAACCAGATAGTGTAGGATAGAGCAAAGAGGTTCTTTTCACTTGCTTTTCACCATCCCATAAGGGCCTCCTAAGCTGGATCCCGCATGGATCCTCCTGCATCCAGAAGTGTCTTAAGACCATCTAGGTAGATAGGCTGAGGGGAGAGGATGGCATCATGCATGGGCCGCGTGGATAATTGAGATTAATATATAGAAAGTGCTATCTGGTTCCTGAATTTGGTTGTAAATTTGAATCAACTAGAGCAGAAAGAGAAATACAGTGTATTTTTTTCCATTTCTCATAAAAGGAAATCTATAAAATCCTCTATGAAAAAAATATTTTCGATCATTTGGACCAGAATTTATTGTGGTGATCTTTCATAATAAGTAATATATTTTCATCCATGGTTTTACCAAGGGCATAAAAGTGCTGTTCTTGTTATATTAGCTTCTTAAGAAATTCAAGTATAAAATTAAATCAGTAAATAGTGAAACATTTCTGTGGTAGGTAGACAGGTGATAGTGGAATTAAAACACGGTAATTTTTAGTGGTGATGGTGATTCCTAAAGAGGCATTTTCTTCATCTGCATTATTAATATCCATTAGGTTATTTATAGATATCAGTGACTGAAAGTTGAATTGCATTCATAATATGTACTGTTATGATTTCCTATATGATTTTAACTTGCCAAAATATTCTGATACTTTTGAATTATATTTAGATTGGCCTAAAGATTTAATACTAGTGACTCAATATGGGAAGAAAAGGAAAACTCAAAAGAAAACATGCCTTAACGTTAAAGCAAGAGGATAAAATGTTACACTAAATTTATTCCTGCTTGAATACTTCAAACTGAAATGAAAACTATTTTTAGTTTATTATCTTTGGCAACACTGCCAGTATTTTTAGGAGAATTGTTTTCCTCATAAATCAGTTAATACAATTTAAGTTATAAATTTCTTCCTTTCCTTTATTGTTTTGGTCCTTTAATTTTTCCCCTTTCAGCCATTTATTTTTTATTTAGTTTGTGTTCAATGCAAGTCAATTCCATAACATGAGAAGTTGCTATGAATCAAAGCATAAATACACAAACACAATATACAATCCAAACAGATGTACAGCATTCAAATATGAAGCAAAAGGGAGTATTCATTTATACCCACAGTAGCTTGGGCTTGGTTGTTATCTGGAGGTTTCTAACCATGGGGCGAAATTACTTTATCAAAACTACTGTATTCATCTTAAATAACTGGAACATGTAAGCACCAGTATGTGACCATGCGAACGAAAGACTTCATGAAGTGTCTAATTTTAAAATGTGTCTGTGCATCGAGGCAGTTGTAAAAGACTTACTTTCCATAATTAAGCCCACCTTAAGACCGGTTCTAACAATCTAAAAATACTGATCAGTACAGACACTGTTTCAGGTGGGACTATTCTGATTAATAAAGTTTAAAAAAAATTACAAAAAAGAGCAGCGTTGTGTCATCCGCATAACGCAGATTGTTAATAGATCTTCCACCAATCCTGACACCACACTTCTCCTCATAGAGCCCAGCCTCTCAGATAATCTGCTCTTCATACAGGTTGAAAAGGTATGGAGATAGGACACATCCCTGGCGTACACCCTTCCCAATTTTGAACCATGCAGTGTTACCCTGCTCTGTTCTGACGACTGCCTCTTGGTCCAAGTATAGGTTTCTCATTAGCACGATTAAATGTTCTGGGATTCCCATTCTTCTCAAAGTCAGCCACAGTTTGTTATGATCCACACAGTCAAATGCCTTTGTGTAATCAATGAAACACAAATAGACATTCATGGTAGCTTTTGATACTACCTAAAAATTTTATGGCCTTCTAGATTTCATGAACAAAATTAAATTTTAATCACTATTCCACACTTCATTCTTTATTTCTAGATAAAACTAATCTCTCTTTTTTTTTTCTTAAGTAGTTTTAAGTGTCCAGATTTCCTAGCCAACATATAAGGAGATCATCTCTAGAGTAGAGGACATCATTGCTCTTCATCTGGTACATTAACCTCCAACACATACGATAAAGGCATTCATCATCCAGTCAAGCTTTTCATGTGTTGTTCAAATCTTTGAAATCAGACATTCTCAATATTTTCTGGGTCAATAAAATAAGATGTAGAATCAGTAGATTCAATGGAGAGCTGTTTTTTTCTTTGTCACACTGGATTTCTGGGCACCATTTGGATTGAGTTGAGAAGATGGGGAAGTAGAGGCATTTTTTGGCCTGAGTCTCTACAGTAGAGATGTAATAGGAAGAGTGAGACCACAAAGAGACTGGCTGTGCACTGCAGGGGACCTGCACTTCCCTTGGTGGGTGACTGTGTGGCAACAGTTTACTGGGAGGAATTACTTGATCAGGGCATGACAGGTGTATCACTTGAATAAATCTGTGTGGGAAGGAGCCACAGCCTGAGCCCTAGCCTGGGCACCATCATTCTGTTCATTTCCATTTTGTCAGCACACAGCAGTGTGTCTCTGCGTGCTGGGAGCGTGGAGAATCGTGGCTAGGGCCATTACAGCAAATTCCATTTTGGTTCTTTAGAAATATAGAGGATGTGAGTTATTTTTATTTGTTAGTTCCTTTAGTACATTGTTTTCCCTCCTTTGTACAGGTGTTCACGCTGTCTAAGGGCTTGGTGCCACGGGTGCTGTCCAGGGTGGTGGAAGCAGTCTCGGAAGAGCTCAGTCGGCTGATGCAGTGTGTCTCATCATTCAGCAAAAATGGAGCGTTACAGGTGCCCACACCACTCAGTTTCATTAGTGTTTATCTAAAACCTGTCTATCTGGTTTCAGTCACCTATTTCATCATATATGTATTTCCTTCTTTAATAGAGCAATAATTAGAGATCTCAAGTTCGTAAAATGCTCTGTAACATGGAAGAGAGTAAAGAGCATTATGCTGAGTAAACTAACTCAGTCTCCTAAAGACAAATACTGCATAAGACCACTATTGTGAAAACAGGAGGATAACTGAGCAAGATATGCATAAATGTTCAAAAGAGGAAGGGGGAAAGGGCAGAAATAAAGGGAAAGGAGGAAAATCACTAGGATGGGAGAGGTAAGCAAGCAAACAGGAGTGAAAGAATAGGAAGGATTCCATGAGGACTTAAAGAGATGGAGTGATAATAGGACTAGATCAAAAGTAATAAATTACATAAAACACAATGTATATGAATGATTATGTAAAACACAATATATGTGAATGCAGCACAAGGTATATACATGATTGTATGCAAGCCAATTTAAAAAAAGTATACAAAGAAGTATAGGTACAAAAAAATTCTTTACAAAATATTAGCAAATTGAACTGAATAATTTAAAAAGATAACATACCACAACCAGTAAGTATATATTCTAGAAATGCAAGCATGCTTTTTTTTTTTTTAAGACCAGTCTCTTTATATAGTAGTCAGAACAGCCTGGTGTTGATGCAGTGAGAAACACGTAGACCAGTGGAACCAAATTGAGAATCCAAATCCAAAGTTAAGTCTATCCACCTCTAAATAGCTGATCTTATAATGCTTCATGTTGTTTTCTCTTCCGGTTAATTGTCAATTTATCATACTGTGGTAGCTTGCATGTCATTGGAAGCAATGTGATTGTCATGTCAAATACAGCAGATTCAGAAATCTTGGAAAGATTTCATCAGAGCTTCCAAACTAGGATTAGAAAGTTTTTCCATGATCTAATTGTGGGGGAAAAAAATGTGACTAGTGTAAACCTTGTCTGATACAGTATCAGAAAATGAGTTCGTCAGCTTGGAAGGGAACTGAGGAAGTTGTGGAAGGACTCAACTGAGGAAGATCTGCCTCTTCAAAATAATCAGTCTTCATGGCATGGACAGAGTCAAAATTATGGGCTCTGCATTTGCTGATATGGGTCAACTCAAAATGAGAAGAAACAGCTGAAAACATCCATTAATAATCAGGACACGGGATGTACTAAGTGTGAGTCTAAGAAAATGGGAAGTTGACAGAAAACAAAATAGAATACATCGTGATCAACATGGTAGCATTAAGCAATCCAATTGAAAAAATGGGCACAAGATATGAACAGACACTTCACCAAAGAAGACATTCAGATGGCCAACAAGCACACAAAATGTAACAGAACAGCAAGCAACCAGTGCTGGCGAGGCTGTAGAGAATCTGGAACCCTTATTCACTGTTGGTGGGAGTGTAAAATGGTGCAACCACTGTGGAAAACGGTGTGGCACTTTCTCAAAAAGTTGCAAATAGAGATACCATTTGACCCAGCAATTCCACTACTGGGAATATACCCCAAAGAGAACATAACTGCCACCCAAGCAGATGCATGCACACCCATATTTCTCACAGCCTTGTTCATAGTAGCAAGGAGTTGGAAACAATCTAAGCCAAAGTCTGTGCCTCTCTGGTAATTTGAATCTACCAGCAGCTCTGTGGAAGAAAAATGGGCAACCTCCTCCTGTGCTAATAACAGCCTT